CTGACCAGCAACGTCATTTTGTTGTTATTATATGCCGATGATTTGTGCATAATTGATGATACTGTAGTTGGTCTCCAACTAAAACTTAATATCCTTAAATCTTTCTGTACTAAATGGGGTTTAGAAGTTAACCTTAGTAAGACTGAAATTTTAGTTTTCAGAAATGGTGGAAAACTTAGGAGTACTGAGAAACGGAGGTTTGGAGATGTTAATGTTAATGTATCTACCTATTATAATTATCTAGGTTTGTTATTTTCAAATCGGCTGTGTTGGACGACTGGTATCAACTCTCTTGTTCAGAAGGCAAATAAGGCTCTGTTCGTTGTTAAGAAATTACAGCATTGTTTGGAGAACATACCCGTACATATACTTTTTAAAATATTTGACATTCAAATTAAGCCTGTATTATTATACACTTCAGAAATATGGGGCTATTCAAAAATTGCAGCAATTGAAAAAATTCAGATTAAATTCTGTAAATTTACTATTGGAATTGGAAGTCATGTTACAAATGTTGCTGCCCTTGGCGAATGTGGTAGATATGGATTATTTATTGATTATCACAAGAGATGTATTAAATATTGGTTGAAATTGTTATCTTTACCCAGTTATAGATACCCTAAGCAATGTTATTTAATACTGAAATCTTTAGATGAAGTTAATCGCCATACATGGGTAACTTGTGTCAAAAGATTATTATTCAGTTATGGATTTGGCCACGTGTGGATTTCGCAGGAAGTTGGTAATGAGACCCTCTTTATTAATGCATTTATTCAAAGGTTAAAAGACTGTAACCAACAGGACTGGTATTGTAAAGTTTGTGAAATACGTAAATTATCAATGTATAAGGAATATAAGTCATTGCTAACAGTTGAAAAGTATCTCTGTGAAATCACAAGCCGTCATTATAGACGTATGTTTTGTTTGTTAAGAGTTGGCGAGTTGCCATTGATGGTAAATTTAGGTAGAAGATGCGGTATAGAGTATTGTAATAGGCAGTGCAGATATTGTAATTTACAGGAAATTGAAGATGAGTTTCATTTTATGCTTGTCTGCCCATGTTACAGATATTTAAGAAATAAGTATTATACTTTATTTAAATATAATACACTATTATCTTGTAACCGCACTAGTATTGTAACTAATTGTGTTAAGTATATACTGGAAGCACTTGCAATCCGAAATACTGTCACTTAATATCCTCTGTCATCTGCCTCATACTGTATTTTTCAATGAGTATTTGTACGTGGGCCTATGGCCTTTATAATGAAATAAAGAATTGAATTGAACGTCTACTGCATCCTTTACGGCTCACTGACCAGCACCGTCTACTGCACCTCCACGGCTCACTGACCAGCACCGTCTACTGCACCTTCACGGCTCACTGACCAGCACCGTCTACTGCACCTTCACGGCTCTCTGACCAGCACCGTCTACTGAATCCTTCACGGCTCACTGACCACGGCTCACTGACCAGCACTGTCTACTGCACCTCCACGGCTCACTGACCAGCACCGTCTACTGCACCTCCACGGCTCACTGACCAGCACCGTCTACTGAATCCTTCACGGCTCACTGACCAACACCGCCTACTGCATCTGCACGGCTCTCTGACCAGCACCGTCTACTGCACCCTACACTGACCAGCACTGTCTACTGCACATCAACGGCTCTCTGACCAGCACCGTCTACTGAATCCTTCACGGCTCACTGACCAACACCGCCTACTGCATCTGCACGGCTCTCTGACCAGCACCGTCTACTGCACCCTACACTGAGCAGCGCCGTCTACTGCACCATACACTGCCCAGTACCGTCTACTGCACCCTACACTGACCAGCACTGTCTACTGCACCTCCACGGCTCACTGACCAGCACCGTCTACTGCACCTCCACGGCTCACTGACCAGCACCGTCTACTGCACCTCCACGGCTCACTGACCACCGACGTAAAATGATAGTCACGAGGACAACAGACAACCCCATCAATATTCATATCAATCAATTAACGTTTCACCGTCTGTCGGGTTATCGATTTTTATTGACGTGGCACGTGCCGTGGTACATTTCACAATAGATCGTTGAGTGTTAGGTTTTAATTGCTTCCTATTAGAAGTTTTTCTTTAAGCGCCGTTAGTTTCAAAGGACATAATGCCCCAACTACAATAGACTAATGATGGTGATGATGTGTGCACCAGGTATATCAACAACAACATATGATGCATATAGATATCACACTTTTTGCGCAAACAAAATATCTGCTTTTGTTATCACATTGGCATTGAGTTCCCTGGTCTTAACTATGGACTATATATGGATATTATTTTAGCGTGCCCGACTTTTGTTGTAGCAAACGGTGTTCAGGGACATATCCAGCATGTGTTTTATCGATAACTTATCCCTCGCCGTGCTGGCTCGTTCATGGGGATGTGTGTGTGTGTGTGTGTGTAACAATATCGATACTTGTCCCGAGAAGGCGTAAAATCCGCATCGTTGATAGTGTTAATGTGGACCAAGCGGTTCAGCGTATTAAACACATAGATTCTAACTGAAAATAAATTATATCGAAAATATGTTGAAAAGTAATACTGTTGTTTTGAAGTGGCGCGGTAATATATATAAAACAATTACTATTTTATAACGTACACTACCTTGGTTGACGCTCTTAACATTTGCGGCGTAAAATCAAAATCTCAAAAAAATCCAAAACCATTCGATGACGTACGATGTATTATATTGTTTGCGGTCATTTTCAAACAAACCTGGTTTTATAACAACTCAAACTTTTGACGTTAAAAAAACAGCCGTGGACATCACAGTTGTCGGCATCAGGGTTCCTTCACGCGATTCTTTGAATTAAGACCAGTTTCCGGGTCGGTGTGAAATTTGTATAGAATTGTTTGAGATTTCTTTTGAATCATTTAGAAGTTAGACAAAATGTCACACATATACATACCTCTACGTGTTTGGTTGTCTGGATATTACTTTAAGCAGTATGGGGAGTTAAATAATTGTTCCAAATTGCGTGATTATACATAAAAATGTCTCAGAGCTCGCCTAGCCAAGTTTGGAAGCAAGCTGACCTCACTACCAGTGTTGTGTCGTCTGCCTACACGGGTAACTGCTGCTGTTTATCGGAAGTGAGATGCTGTTCCGGCGCTTAGTGCCAAACGAACTCGTGTCTACAGTGTGAGCGATCACCTATACAACTGTGCTATTGCTCCGCCCTAACGCGACCCTGCGTCACCGGACAAGTTTCGTGGAAGAACAATATACAACCCCAAAGATATATCGATATAGAAGGATAGATCTAAAAACATTTCGACATCTATTTCTATAGTCTAGTTTGAAAAAGCCAACATTTTAAAATGTACTTAGTTTATTATATAGTTTACTGTTCACAATGAGTCACTAGTTGTTCTAAGTTTCTAAACAAACGTTATTCATACGAAAAGCGGATAGAAAAAATATGAAAATATTCTTGAACAATCCCGTGTATGACCTGGTTTTGCTTTACTTTAATGTAAACTGAGGTTGCCATGAAGTACATACTAATATTGAATAAATCTTTACATTATGATGCGGTCAACGGCGTGTGTGGGGAACAAAATTCGGCCTTGACTTCTGAATTTGGCTTGGGCTGTGTCATTTATCTGCGTCGACATACAAACAGGATATTTCCAAACAAAAACGCTGGGCCAAACAAGAAATGTTTAATGCAATATATCTATGATTTCATGTAAAAGCAGCATCGATGTATATTTGTCAATACATAATATGAATAGGTTTTAAAACGTTTTTATAATAATGTAATAAGCTTAATACATTATTTAATAACTAAACAAAATAAAATAAGCCTCACACATGATATTATCTTGTTAATATCCGCATTATGACACAAAGCATCATACAAACCCAACCCCATGCAAATATTCAGTGTAGCTCTGACGAACTATCCTTCTAAAACAACTATGAACTAAAGCATCAACTACGTTCTGTTGAAAGACAGAATCGAACTGGGATCCTCATCAATATTTATATAAAACGCGACTAATATCAACAACGAAGTAAGTTTCAAATATTTAGTTGGATAGATTTCTTAACCTCGGATGTGACCTCTTTTCCGTCTCGGGTAAACCTGCATATATATATACATATATATTGTTTAGTGACATCATACGTGACTTGTTTTCAATTCTCAAATATAATCGTGCCCCAATTAAGATCATGTCACGGGAGCCTGTTGTTATCGCCTACGGACATTGTTCAACATGACGAATGAAAAAATCGGCCTCGATAAACTCGATAGAGCCGCACCCATCTTTTCCGCGAGTCATTAACTGTAACAACGAACCGGGATATGCACGTTCTACAACACGCGAGACCGCAGTCGAATTACAAACTGGGTCTTTAATATTCCTAGCTTTATCTTTTACTGTAATAACGTTAAATAAAAAAAATGAAAACTGAACGGAGTAGAATTTAATCAGGGGTTAGTGTAGGGGTTTTATTTTATTATTTCAATTCAAATGACATATTACAGTTGGAGATTGATAACGAAGTGAAAACGTTTTGGACTTACATACAAACCCTATTGTCACGTATCGAACCGGCCTTGTATAATGCTATTATTCTCTCGTTTTGTTGGCTGAAATTACTATACACTACCATGACCTCAAATTTATACACCACCATTACCTCAAATTAACTGTTATCACAAGTCAAGAGATCGAACATCAAACGTCCCATCTGTTTCACAGTTCTCGTCCGAAATCGACAAGTTCCCTTTCGCTCGCAAATCCATCTTTCCCAACTGAATGGTTCATTTCAGATTTACTCGCGCATAAACAGCGCAAAGATTTCCGCAAATCAACAGACGTGCTTCGGTCTCCGGCACAATACTATCACCCAGACTTGTCGTCTGCTGTCTGCAAAGCAGACGACAAGCCAGCGGGAACGCCCTTGATTCTGATTGGTCGAAGCTCGTGATTGGCTCGTGCTTTGTTTTGTTTATAGCATCGCCGTACGCTCGATCACTCATAGGATCAACGAGAGCAACAGCGAGTGCACGCACCATCGTTCATCGGAATCATTAGACTGTTGGTTTGCGTTGAGTTGCCGTGGATAAATCAGTTACGGAACTAGAAGGTTAGTGGAGTGTGTTTGAAGGTTATGTGGTAAAACACGCGGCTGATAAAATATCAGCAGTGGTTTACTCCACAAACCCAGTGTAATCTAGCTCAATATTAGTGCACGTGGTCTTAGAAAACGAACTCGCTTGTCAGATCTGGCTTGTTGCGTTGTCAGTAACGATGCTTCTTCGTCGATGTTTTTTTTTCGATGTAACATTAGATGAGTAATTGTTTAAATGTATATTTTTTTATATCTTTATGTCATGCATTTATTTGTGCACAGTTAGTGATTTTTGTATATATATATGTACCCGATAGGTTTGTAGTGATAATTGTAAATATAAGTTTCCTGGTGTCATATTCCAACCGTCGTCATATTGCAGCTTTAAGAGTGACGCTAGACATTTTGAAGTTGTCCCTGATTTGTTGCTATTCACTGATACCGGAAAACATGATATCCGCCTTAATTCAAGTACGAGCACTTGTGTGAAACTATTGGATACAATATGAGCAAGCAATCCGCTTTCACAACAAACACATAACTGTACACATCTAATGTTGATGAATTTAACCAGTTGTCGTCATCATCTGTCATCAAAGCAACTCCTGATATGCTGTGGTCGACCTCATGACTTCTCTTTTTGTGTCAAGTGCAATTGTGGATATGTGTATGTACTATTAATATGAATTCAGATTTTCACACGCTTAGTAGCAGCGAGTTTTATTTCTAATGAGGTAAATTCGGGTCAAAACGGCGATAAAATCAGATTTCATGCATCGTAACTTCAGCTGCGAAACCGATTCCAGTGACCTAGTTTTTCCCGTCTGTTTTCATGCGACGTGACCCAAATGTGTTTGTTTACAGCGACAGAATGAGGCACAAGGGAGACAACTCGTGTGAAATCGAAGAACGGCTTGCTCGAGCAGCCGAGACAAGCTTGAAAACTAAATCGATTTCTCCTGTCCTGAGAGAAGAACTGAGACTGTCGATCTTAAACAGACGTCACGCCAACGGCCAGGAAGAACTCTCCGTCGAGTTCAAAAAGCCAGTAAAACACGATGTAAGTTCCTACTCGATATCTATGTTTACGGAAAAACATAAGCATATTTTTTTCATGTTATTCTTTTATAACCTAGAAACGTTAGCGTCGGATCCTAAACGATACATCTGTAATAGGGTTGATACTTTACATTGTGCGATGTCGTGCATCTGGCTCTATGTACACTGCAACCCCGATAGTCTGGAACCTGTATATTTGGTAACCCCGTCTTCTGGGCTATCTTTTTTGGAAAGTGTCCGTATACAAAGCGACGCCGTATCCATGACGCATGTGTTAATCTGGTTGATACACTGTGAACGTCCGGATACACGGGGTTTCATTTTATACAGTTTCCACAGCTGTGCTATGAACTCTCATGTGTTATGCGTATCGATAATTTATGTGTTTATGTTTACCTAAATTCTACGGTGTGACAAATCTCCGTTGAGCCTTCGTTGATATACAACGCACGTGACAGATTGAACCCATACCGTGACAGGTCGGATGAGGCCAAGTGGCAGTGTTGAACAACCTGCCTGCGACACCCATGTCGAGCTCTTGTCACAAGCTGTCGCCCATTTCAGAGTTCGCTACTATTTTTTTCATTTCTTTACTACTTAGGAAATATGTCAACTGCTGTTTTTGTTAATGTTATGGCGTCCTGATGGAACCTTCGTTGAATAAAAGCAATGCTATTTTCAGTTGACGCCAGCGGAGATCCAAAAGAAAGTGAGACGACGTGAACAGAACAGACGCGCAGCTCGACGTTGTCGGCAAAAGAAAAAACAAAAACAGGAGGGGACATTTGAGGTGAGCTTTTAAAAAAATTACAATTGAAGAGTGTATAACATTCATCCCCAGCGTCACTACTATCACATTAAATTTCTTTTAATAAATGGTACTTGGCTTCAGCAACCCACTTCAACTGGGAGCCTGTCACATGATGTATTGTTTGTTTGTTTGTTTGTTTAACGCTGCACTCAGCAATAATCCAGCTGTATGACGGCGGTCTGTAAATAATGAACTCTGGACCAGGCAATCCAGATTGATATCATGGGCATCGATCCACGGAATTGGGATCGATGGTATGCATCAACCAAGTCAGCAAGCCTGACCACCCGATCCCGTAAACCGCATCTTACGTGGCATAGTCGCATTTTATGGCATGCATGGGTTACTGAAAACCTATTCTTCCCCAGATCTTCACGGGTGGGGTGAATTACGATTGAACAGCGACGGTTGAACTATTTTCGCTTGCTTGCAGTACACTTGGTGTATACATTTAATTGGTTTATAACGGCCGTTATATATATATCATATTTATTCGAACCAGTGACGTCTATTGAAATTGCTGCATTATAACCGAAGTGCGAGTAGAATCGACGTCGAACCTATTTCGGGATTTGATCCCTGGTCTTGAACGTGACGAGCATGAGCACTATCAACTGAACCATGACAACAAAACAATTGAATTGTGAAGTATTTATGAACGATAATTTGTACGTTTAATTTAATGTAAAAATGTAGTTCCTATTCTTCATCCCTTTTTTGATTTTTCAGGGTTTGGCCAAAGTGATCGAGGAAAACCAATCCCTCGAGGCCGAGATAAATCTGCTGAAATCTGAAAAAGATGCAATCAAAAGGTTTTTGGAATCACATGGTGTTTGTGGTTCCGTGAAACAGGAGGCAGTTGACATCATGACGGCTGTAGTCGCAGGTAACGCAGAGGTCTCCCGAGACATCCCCCCCAGTAGCGTGGCCACACCCTCTCAACCGTATGACGCCCCAATGTCCGATGGACAGATTGTTAGTGAAATCGCAGATTGTTTACCTCAAGCCGTCGTCGACTTCTATCTGGAACATTCAACCAAGGACGAAAGCCTCTTTTTCGACTGCGGTTCAGACATGCGCAGACAGACAGTTTCTGTTTCGAGCGTTTCGTCAGAGGCTGATGCCTTCGGAGTGGAAAGTGACACAGACACTATTTTTACGACAGATCAGAGCGGAATGTCGGAATGTTCCGAAGATGAAGATGTTTTTCAACCGAGCGTTACTTGGAGCCTCACCGGAAGTCAGACCCTACCGCTAATAAATGACAATCAGAGTTGTCTCCCCCTGAACCCCTTCGGAGGTCTCTGTTCCCAGATATCCAATGAGGTGGATTCCTGTGAAGACGCGTCATATATGACGTATTGGAACTTATCAGAACCCTAGAAATATCAAAAACACTATATTCGTGTGTATATTCTTGCTAAGCATTTCTGGGTGTTTTGTCACCAACATTGCCATCAAATCATTACCGAATATTCTCTCAACTCTACTGGCGTTGAACAATTTCACACACTCCTGACGTTTTAGACAACATGAGTAGGTGTTCAGCATTGTTAGTGTGTGAACTTTGCCCATACACTTGCATCAACGTATCTACTTCCACGAGGAACTTCCTTTTCATTATTCACAAATACCGATAAAGTGTTCAAATATCCTGTTGGAGGAAAATGCTCAAAAGTCTTCTTTTTTACGAACTTTTGTCTCAGATCAGCATTTCAAATTTGATATATCTTGTTCGCAATCGCATACATATTGAACTGTCTCCTGTATCGCCGATGCATGAAATACTGACACCAGCGTTGTCTCAGTGCATGTGCACTACAGGGAGTGATGACTGGAGCTGACTATGTTTTACGGCCTTGTAATTATTAGCATTGCTTATTGCAGATGTGTACATATATTAGTTTCCAGTGACATTGGAATGGCATTTTTCCTGTATATAAATGACCTGTTAATGCACAGATAATCCACTTCGCTTCAAGTGCGCTTCACATCCCGTTCGTAAAACGTTCTTCCTCATCAGCTGTTGCTGACGACGCGCTCATTGTCTGTTCAGAGTTAATAATAATGTCTGTTAATGACACGAGAGATGTACACAATATACACACCAGGGTACCTGAACACCACGCGACTATACACACACCAGGGTACCTGAACACCACGCGACTATACACACACCTGGGTACCTGAACACCACGCGACTATACACACACCAGGGTACCTGAACACCACGCGACTATACACACACCAGGGTACCTGAACACCACGCGACTATACACACACCTGGGTACCTGAACACCACGCGACTATACACACACCAGGGTACCTGAACACCACGCGACTATACACACACCAGGGTACCTGAACACCACGCAACTATACACACACCAGGGTACCTGAACACCACGTGACTATACACACACCAGGGTACCTGAACACCACGCTATACACACACCAGGGTACCTGAACACAACGCGACTATACACATACCAGGGTACCTGAACACCACGCGACTATACACACACCAGGGTACCTGAACACCACGCGACCAATACAACGATCGGGTATCTAAATATCATGACTGCAAGTATTTTCCAGGTACCCGAATAACACTATACACAGTTGCAGGAAACCGAACAACACGACTATACACATTTGCAGGGTACCTGCACAACACGACTATATACAGCTTCCGGGTACCTGGTAAACGCACAACTACCACCGACTACCCATTTAAGTCCCAGACAAGTCAGCTGATTTCGCCCATGTTGGATGTCATACATTCCGTATTCATTATGTATATGAATCAAAGATGAAATAAAATATTCGATTCCTCTTTGGACTGTTTTATTAGTAAGAGTTCATATTTTAGGTTATCGGTGCAATTATTTTCAGTAATTCTCACTTGCCACTATGACTTTTCCTTTTTGATGATTGGCTAATTCCTTCCGGTTCTTCATCGCACTCCGGTGCAGTTAGTGACTCAGCATAACGCCACTGCTACAGGCTAATTTGCATATCACGTGACCGGACATTTCTCTTGTTTGTAAACAAACGCGCTTTTTCAGAAATCAGAATAGAACCGACTAATGCAAGTGTTTAGGGGCCCTTTACATATTGTTTTGCATAATTATATAGATATGCTACTAAAATTGCGACATTGAATTGCATGACAATGCATATTTACACATCAAAGTGACCGTATGGCGAGCTCTCAGTAGGGCTACAACGACAGCACGTGGGGCCGTACAACCAATGTAAACATATGATTATTACACACATAGAAATAGTTTTTCACGATTTAGGAACCAACGAGCACGGATATGGTGCTGACAACCTAGAAACATAATCGGTGCGAACCGGGATTCGAACCCACGATTATAGGTTTCTGGTGTGCCCAAGGGACGCAACTCTTCATAGCGAATTGCGGCGCCTAAGACAACTGGGCCACCAGCTCACCCTGCACCGGTTCGAAGATCAGTATCTCTCCTAATTTCGTAAGCCTAATGTGACAGCTGTAGTGCTCGCAGCTGTCTTTCTTAGTAAACAATATCCAATTTTGTCCATATTGTCCCCAAGTGTCCGCATTGAACCTAGGTGTCCGTATTGTCCCCAAGTGTCCGTATTGTCCACAAGTGTCCCCAAGTGTCCGTATGGTCCCCAAGTGTCCGTATTGTCCCCAAGTGTCCGTATTGTCCCCAAGTGTCCGTATTAAACCAAGATATCTGTATTGTTCCTAAGTGTCCGTATTGAACCTACATGTCTGTATTGTCCCCAAGTGTCCGTATTGTCCCCTAGTGTCCGTATTGAACCAAGATATCTGTATTGTTCCTAAGTGTCCGTATTGAACCTACATGTCTGTATTGTCCCCAAGTGTCCGTATTATCCCCAAGTGTCCGTATTAAACCAAGATATCTGTATTGTTCCTAAGTGTCCGTATTGAACCTACATGTCTGTATTGTCCCCAAGTGTCCGTATTGTCCCCTAGTGTCCGTATTGAACCAAGATATCTGTATTGTTCCTAAGTGTCCGTATTGAACCTACATGTCTGTATTGTCCCCAAGTGTCCGTATTGTCCCCTAGTGTCCGTATTGAACCAAGATATCTGTATTGTTCCTAAGTGTCCGTATTGAACCTACATGTCTGTATTGTCCCCAAGTGTCCGTATTGTCCCCAAGTGTCTGCATTGTCCCCAAGTGTCTGTATTGTCCCCAAGTGTCCGTATTGTCCCCAAGTGTCTGTATTGTCCCCAAGTGTCCGTATTGTCCCCTAGTGTCCGTATTGTCCCCTAGTGTCTGTATTGTCCCCTAGTGTCCGTATTGTCCCCAAGTGTCCGTATTGAACCTAGATGTCCGTATTGTCCCCAAGTGTCCGTATTGTCCCCTAGTGTCCGTATTGTCCCCAAGTGTCCGTATTGTCCCAAAGTGTCTGTATTGTCCCCAAGTGTCTGTATTGTTCCCTAGTGTCCGTATTGTCCCCAAGTGTCCGTATTGAACCTAGATGTCCGTATTGTCCCCAAGTGTCCGTATTGTCCCCAAGTGTCCGTATTGAACCGAGATGTCTGTATTGTCCCCTAGTGTCCGTATTGTCCCCTAGTGTCCGTATTGTCCCCAAGTGTCCGTATTGTCCCCTAGTGTCCGTATTGTCCCCTAGTGTCCGTATTGTCCCCAAGTGTCCGTATTGTCCCCAAGTGTCCGTATTGAACCTAGATGTCTGTATTGTCCCCTAGTGTCCGTATTGTCCCCTAGTGTCCGTATTGAACCAAGATATCTGTATTGTTCCTAAGTGTCCGTATTGTCCCCAAGTGTCCGTATTGTCCCCTAGTGTCCGTATTAAACCTAGATGTCCGTATTGCCCTCAGGTGTCCCTACTCTTCCAAGGTGTCCGTACTCCCCAAGGTGTCCGTACTCCCCAAGGTGTCCGTACTCTCCCAATGTGTCCGTACTCTCCCAAAGTGTCCGTACCCTCCCAAGGTGTCCGTACTCCCCAAGGTGTCCTTACTCTCCCAAGGTGTCCGTACTCTCCCAAAGTGCCCGTACCCTCCCAAGGTGTCCGTACTCCCCAAGGTGTCCGTACTCTCCCAAGGTGTCCGTACTCTCCCAAGGTGTCCGTACTGTCTTACCACTAGTTTTTCGTATCGTATCCAGCTGCCTGTAGAATCCCCTGGTATCCCATGATATAGCCTGTGAAGAACTTCTGAGGTGCACAGTGTCAGGGTACATCGCCCGGCTTTTTGCATCATAAGCGACCTTCCGTCATCTTCCATGGACCCCTCGTGTTCACCCCAATACATACACGTATAGTCAGGAAAAGCAACGTATATATGTTATATATTGCACGAACTGTTACTTGATAATAATCGCGCTAAAGGGTTTACGAATAAATTATCAATGTCAATTGACCCTGTCATTATTAAGATTGGATTGATGAATATATGGCATTCACATTGTTTTGACGGTCCATTCCTCAAAAGCTAACGTACAGAATAATCCGAATAGCTGAACAATATTTTGATAAATTATGTAAATAACTATGGTTCTGAATAATTCAGTTCAGAACATCATGTTTGCTTGTCGTAAGAGGTGACTGACGGGATCAGGTGGTCAGACTCGCTGACTTGGTTGATGCATGTCATCGTATCCCAATTGCGTGGATGGATGCGCATGATATCAATCTGGTTTGTCTGGTCCAGACTTGATTATTTACAGACCGCCGTCATATAGCTGGATTATTGCTGAGTCCAGCGTTAAACAAACAAACAAACAAACAAACAAACAATACATCATGTGACAGGCTCCCAGTTAAAGGGGGTTGCTGAAGCCAAGAACCATTTATTAAAAGAAATGTAATGTGATAGTAGGGACGCTGGGGATGAATGTTATACACTCTTAAATTGTAATCATTTTAAAAGCTATAAAATTGATTTGCTTCCAAGATGTCACTCTAAGTTAAATGTGTTAAAATGCACAGTCCGTTTAGAAGTACAAAAATAAGTGTGTTAAACAAATGATCTAAGTTTTGTTCAACATTTTCGTCCTCTGGGTAAAACCAACTTGTACAATATATTGCTGTAAATTGTAAATTATACATAATCTGCCCTGCTGCCATGGAACATAATTTGTATGATATTAATAAGGCACAGTCTGTGTCCTATTTGTCTGTCTCTCATTGCTAATAGTGAAGACAATACAACATTCTCTCTCAGTATTCACGTCGTATCATTGTCATTCGGTCCTGTATGTTGTAACCATGACGACTGTAGGTGAACAATTTGACAGATGTAGCACCTTGGGGGGTACATGATTACATTTGCTCATAGTCTTATTTCCTGATCATGTATCAATGTATTTTCGCGACAACGTCAAGGCTGATACGTGATAGCAGTTAAATAAGGAACAAGGCGGACGTTGAAGTACACTTACATTAAATTCTTGTTATAACTCCAATACACATTCATATATTCATCGAAAAAGAAACACATCAGTTGTAAAAAAACTTTCAAAAGAAAATGTCATGGATGGAGAATATTCCATGTTGCGCTGCTTAATATGAGTGAGTATTGTTTTACGCCGCTTTTAGCAATATTTCAGCAATATCATGGCGGGATCATAAGAAATGGGCTTCCCACTTTGTACCCATGTGGGGAATCGAACCCAGGTCCTCGGGGTGACGCCCGAATACTTTAACACTAGGCTACCCCACCGCCCCAACGTGACAATACAAACTACATGTGTTTACTGAAATAGTGACGTAAGAAAATAGTATTGTTTTTGTTGCAGTAATATGGAAAAGCCGTTTTTACGTGCAAATCATGGAATTTGTCAGGGTTCGCTTACGGATATTATTCAGTTTATGACGTGAAGTTTGAAAATCGTCATGCCAAGACTCGCAATAATAATACGATAAAGAATGTTATTGAATTAAACTGGTGAATGACAAGCGTCAGTGGCAAGGTATTTCAACGCTGCCCCAGAGCGCAATTTCCCGACTTTGGCCACGAGGTCACATGACACCACCAGATTTCGTCCAAGAACAGGGTACTCCGCATGGCCACGGGCGGCCTTGCAGCAGGACACTCATTTCAACGTATACAGGGTATCTCAAATTCCTGGTTTACGTCCATTATTTGCACAGATCATCCGAAAGAGTTTACGAGCTGTCGAAATCCGAGCAAGCATACCGTACGTTTTCATTATTGTAACTTAATCTTCCCGACGTCAGTGACTGCAGTGGTGTCGCTAACATCGTCAGTGGCATCCCCAACGTTTGCGTAACGTTTGGTTTAGTGACGCACACCGTTACTCTTCGAATGGGAGATGACCGCCTCCATGGTCTAGTGGTAGAGCGTCCGCCCGGAGAGCGGAAGGTCCGGGTTTCGATCCCCGACCGCGTCATACCAAAAGACGTTAAAAGATGGTACTTGTTGTTACCCTGTCTGGCGCTCGGCATTAAGGGGCTAAGACAAGGACTGGTCGGCTCGGAGTCAGTATACTGTGTCTGAGGCATGGTATCTCAGTGAGCTAGCACTATAAATCGGCATCAGTCCGGACTATTACAAGCACACACACACACACACACACACACACACACACACACACACACACACACACACACACACACGTCGCTATATAAGTGCAATAATCTTGGACGCGACGTTAAACCCCATTTCACTTCACGGCAAATGGGAGATGAACGGACCCGTGCGTAACTTTATACCGGATGAGTTATACCGGATGTTGCGCAAAAGTTGACGGTTTCGGTGCGAGAAGTGTCATGGTGTGGGGGCTATCTGTTATGGGCGAAGAACAGATCTTGTTTGTATCCAGGTGACGAGAT